ACGGAGATGAAGGATTTTCAGAATAAAAGCTTGGCATTAAGATTGTGCGAGAACTGCCGGTTTTTCAGAATAAAACAGCTTTTAAGCTGATGGTATGTTCAAACTAAATGATGCCATAAAACATTGATTTTAATTTCTAACAATTGTGATTTCTAAAAGGGAAACCGGCGTAGGATGTTTTATAAATCTGAATATTTGTGTGCGTATTTACTTCCTTTGTCCTACGTACGCCATCTTCCCGTTTTATAAATGGTGCCCCAGGTGAGGTATGTGGGGGGACCGCAGAACACAGCATGATTCTCATTGTGTTCACACTCCCCAACATGCATGTTTACATTAGCATCGCTAACACTCAGATCTAATCTGTACTGCACAGAGCATGTGTGTGAAGAAGCAGGAAATACAACGGAACTCACCTTGTGGTATAACCGGCAAGACAGAAAGCCTTTGAGCTCCATACTGTTTCAGAAATAATCCTTGATAATCCATGACATGGCGTTTCATCACCGCAGTATCTGCCGGTAGAATCTCCCGCATGAGCTCAGCCCCCTACTTTTTTTTAAATCACTTTTTTTTTTTTTAAGCTTTATACCCCAAATCAGCACTTTTGAAACAGGAAGTGAAATAGAGGGATATGAGGCATGGCTAGAATGGGATCTGTTTGATATTTTGAGCAAAACACTTCATAGACATGTTTTTTATATATTTGTATTAGGGCTGTCAGTCGATTAAAATATTTAATCACGATTAATTGCATGATGTCCATAGTTAATCACACATTTTGTATCTGTTCTAAATGTACCTTAGAGGAATACTTTTCAAGTTTTCAATACTCTCATTAACATATGAGTGGACAAATATGCTTCATGCAAATGTTTGTTTATTATCATTGGAACAATGACAAATGTTCTCCTGAATATTTTCAATACAACAACCTGGAAACTCTCTCTCTCTCTTACACTCTCTCCCAACCATGTGTACTTCTCTGCACTGAGCCAGTTGCTCATACAGACAAGCCTGTTTACAGTTGTCGGCGAAATGCCGCTCCTCTGTCTTCATAACAGTCAAAGCATGAGGCTGAAGTTCCCACCTAGGGTCAAAATAATGCGCTGTGATGTGCAGTCGACACGTTGGATACGATCTGAATTATCTCACACAGTCCCTCGTCCTCCACAATGTTAATTGTCCTGAAAGCTGTAGCCACCGCCACCTATTTAGCTAGCGCTGTTGAAAGCTTGCTGCTCGTAGACGCCGTGCCCAGGCGTCTCCCCGGCAAATTTTCAAACCGCAAGCGAGCGGCAGGAGCGTGGCTGTCAGCATCAGCTGTGTGCTTGGCTTGCTGTTTAAAACACCTTGTTTTGTATCCATATCTCTCGCTAGAATCTCCCACCATCCAACTAACAACAACAACAACATCAACAACAACGTCAAGCCTTTGGGCTCTGAAACTACGGGGCAGGCCGAGGACAAATGCACATACGTTGATCGCAGGAAAAAATTATTAACGCGTTAATTTGACAGCCCTAATTTTTATATATCTGAGACCTATGCTATTGCCTAAAAATAGCATAATAGGTGACCTTTAAACCTCATCTCCAAACTAATAATTCCCGTCACCTCTAAACAGGAGCAAGGACTATTTGGTCCGCCTGGGTAAACAAACAGGAAACCACAGAGGTGTCTGAGAGAGCTAAAGATAGCTCCTTAGCCAAATTGAGACATTTGTCATGACATTGTCAATATTTATGCTGTATTAGACTACAATATGTCACTTGCATGGTTATTGATGTCCCTCAATATTTTTTCCAATGTGAAAAGTGTACTGAGGCTAAAAGAAAGTTGAACATGCTAAATCCCTATTTTCTTCATTCAGAAGTCCAATTGTTTAGTATTAAAACAAGCTTTTAAAGTCAATTAATAGTTAAGAAAAAATGTTGTAATGCTATGCAGCTAACTGGGCATCCATTAGATTCCAGACCACAGTTCAGTGAGAACACAGGTGTAATTAATAACTATTCTATAACACATAGGTGTGAGCAAGCTCTCTGATTGGTCAATAGGCATATTTGATTCCACGATCAAAGAACGGTCAAATAGAACGTGCCTTTTCACAACAAGTCAGTATCCCTCCGCGTCTGAGAAAAACGGTATACCCTTGGCCTGAAAAGCAAACTGCTTGCAGTTACGTACGGACCTCGGCGCAAGCGCCTCGGTCCTGCCGCAGTACTGTCGTACCAATAATGACGTTAAAGAACGGCCTCTCGTGTATGATTGCTTAAATAACCACTGCAATAGGGAAGACAGTTCCCCAGCCCTCGAAAGGGGGGGGGTGTCAGGCTGCAGTGTGTCTAGACAGTATTCATGATCCATCTGTCTGCCACCACCACGGCAACAGCCAGCGGCTACAACGAGATGGCAAACTCCATTATCACGGAAACATGTTCTACATCTCTCGCTCTCCGTCCTGCTCCATCCCTCTCTCTGTCTGTCCGCTCAGAGCACTCTCTCGTTCTCAGGCTCTCTGCACTTTCTTTGGCAGTTATTCCCTCTCTTTTCCTTTCCCCCTGTCCTTCTCTCCCTCATCCATACCTCTCATTCCCTCCCACCTCTCTGGGGAGGTAAGGAACCCGCCAGACAAACACAGACCCAGGGATGAAAGTGCTGTTGTAAAAAGTTTCCCTCTCCTCCTAAAAGTTGTTGAAAGAGAAGCTGCAGCACATCAAAGTGTCTTGGCAGACAGCCATCGCAGCCCATCGCTGTCCTTCACCCCCCCCCCCCTCTCTCCATTGATCGTGACGGGTGGAGGGAACAGTCTCATCCCGCTCCCTGGACAGAGCTGCTCAGCAGGGGGTAGAGCGAGGTGAGGGGTGCTCATAAAACGATTCAAAGAAAAACAGCTCGGAAATTGAAACGTTGGAACATTTCAGGAAGATGTTTTGCGTGGATATCAAAAATGTGTAGAAATATGAATCATACCTATCCTGGAGTATCATTTGATCTTGACTGGGAATACACAGGAGACACATTCACACACCGCACACAATGTTCATCAGTCTGAAACACACTGGCGCTTTTCTCTTGTAGTGATTACAGCAGTGGCGAACCGCCAGGGCCTTCAAGGTATTCAGAGAATACCCTGGAACACTCAGATAAAACAAACAACAAATCGATTTAATTATATAAATAAAATGTATATAAAATGAAAAAATGAGAATCGTATCTGTGTTGTTGATCTGTAATATCACAGTGTTACGTTGATTTGTTTGTCCTTCTCGGACCATGCATTACGCATTTCAGTGGTTTTGTGTTAGAAAAGAAAGCAACCAATCAGATCTTGTTCTGGGTCTCTGGGTAGAATATCCTTCAACCAAGGTATTCTACATCCTTGATCGAATGCCCTGGCCGTTGCACTGAATGAGAGCGTACATTTGGACTGACAGTTTGATCAAACAATCATATATTGATTTGTAGCCAATGGGCGTATTCTTTCAGAGTTTCCCTCGGTTCCAGGGTACTCTAGAAGGCCCGCTAGTTAACTGGCTCGAGACAGAGGATCTAGATGAATGCGACGAAGCAATTCATGCCGTTTTATTGTTTGTAACGTTGAAATGACAAGTGCAACAGGTGAAGATGAAGTTGTTGCGGAATGTTGTGAGTACCCTTTCCAAGACGACAATTCAGTGAAAAGACAGACATTATAATGCCGCGGAGGGGGGTGGGCGGCGGCGGGGGGTGCGTGTGTACTGTCCAGTTGTGATAGACATGGTTCGCCACTGGATTACAGTATGATGTAACATGTCCCTGTTCTCAGAGTTTTAACTGGATATAAATTGGATAATAACATTATTTTAGAAATGTTATGGAAAGAATGAAGATAGTAGTTGCTTTGTGAGAAGTATACGAACAAAAGTGTGTTTTTAAAAAAAAAATATTTATTTCTTCTGCCCATCAGCGTAGCAGGAACCCCTCTAATTCAGTGTAGATAGTCACATTTGATAAAGGGAAGCTGGTGATAAAGGGCCTCGTTCGATTTCATATAATAAGGAAATACTTTTCTATTTAATGTTTTGTTATTCATTTACACACATTGTTTAAATTTAATATTTAAGATCTTATCTGTCTTCTTGTCTTTGACTTCCTTTATGTTCTTTACCCTGTAGAAAGGTTGTGGTTGTTGTGTTGTGTAAAGTCTGATTAAGGTTCAGGATCTTTAATCACTCTGTGCTGAGGGTCGTAGGACCTGTAATCTACCTGCCATAGTCTAATCTACCTGCCATAGTCTAGTGCAGTGATCACCAACTGGCGGCCCGCAGGCCACATCCGGCCCGCCAGACATTCTCATCCGGCCCGCACGACGGGGGTGACTGTGGCGTTGGCGGAGTGGTTACTGCGTTCGCCTCCTACCCATTTTTTTTTTTTAACAACGTCTCGTGAGTAAGGTGCAGTACCGGAGTCCAACAGAGAGGCAGCAGCTGCGGGTCAGTAGACTGCGTACTGCGAAACCTTCCCTGCCTTGAACAAGAATTGATCCTTCGTTGTGAAGAGTCTGGTTAATGCGGTCCGCACCACAGCAGTAGCCCCGCTGCGACAGAGTCCAACAGAGAGGCTGGAGCTGCGGGACAGTAGCCTAGAATCTATGGAATGCCATTTAAGCCAATATTAAATAAATAAATATATACATAAATAATTAAATAAATACATATATATATATAAATATGCCTATGAAATAAATTATAAAATAAATAAATTAGGCAATAAATATGTATACATGTACATTTAAATACATATTTATTTATTTATTTCATGGGGCTTTTATTTCATAATGACACATTTATTTATTTCAAGAGACTTGTATTTCATAATGACACATTTATTTATTTCAAGAGACTTGTATTTCATAATGACACATTTATTTATTTCAAGAGACTCGTATTTCATAATGGCTTATTTCATGTGACTTGTATTTCATGATGAGACATTTCCATTCCTTATCTGCAAATGAACGGGGCGTGGTTAGCTCACAGGTCCAGAGACCCAGACCAAAGCAACAGCACCACACTGACTACTCGAGAAGAGGAAGAAAATGGAGGAGAAGGACTATAAGGCAAACTACTAAATGAAAATAACAACATGGAAGACGTCGGTGGGCTCCAAGACTTAACTGGTTCTTATCTGGGCTTCTCTGGTCTTATCTGGTCCGCCCAATGCTGCTCTTCTGAGAGCAACCGCTCTGACAGCTCTCTCTCTACTGGGAAACAGCTAAAAGTCCTTCTGGAGGTAAGCAACGCTACACAATTACACCCAGTCTGAGAGTAAAATATGTCTCGAAGGTTCGTTTTGCTTTCTTACAACGTTAAGTTAATGTTAACGTAACCTTACGTTTGCTAGGAGGCTATCGTTACGAGCTAGCTTTCTTAGCTAACAACAGTTAGCAGCTAACGTTTTCTGCAGTTTGTGTTGCCCCTGAAAAACGTGATGTAGTTATTTAAGGGTATGTTAAATTAACGTTATTTTACAAGTTGAGAGAGTTAAGTTGTGTTTAAAATCGTCAATGTAATGCACGTTAGAGGTTTTGTGTTGGACAGGAAGTTAGCTCCACCAGGTTAGCATGTTAAGCTGTACTTTTTGTGGCAGCTAGCTTAATACAAAGAGGGGTTTTGTGCTTCATTGCAAACTTTTCTTTGTTAATCTACCTGAAACTGTAGGGACAGTTTGTTTCTACTCAACTATACAGACCATTGTTGAGGAGATGCAAAACATACTGTACATGAGTTGGGTCCAACATATACCTTGAGTAATGTTACTTTGCTGCTAAAAATGAAACATCATTATCAGATGAGGACATCACCAAAGTGTGTGAGTCTGTCAGGGGATTTGATCTGTTCTCTGCATGTCCTAAACACTGCTCTGGTATTACTTATCTTGTAACATGTAAGTCTCCCGCTCTTGTCATCTTTCAGGCTTTGCATTTGAACTCCTATGACTGGTTGCGGACTTGAAGGGAACGCCTTCCTGACATCCAGGAAAAAGGTGAGATTATAATACATTTGAATGCCAAAAGCAAGTTATTGTTTTTAACTTTTGAAATATGATTGTTTTGGGGCATTTCAGTTTTATTGGACAGGCAGTAGAGATCTACTGGAAACAGTGGAGAGGGAGGAGATGATATGCAGCATACGGCCCAGCCGGATGGTTGCTGCTCCGTGTGGAACGTGTCCTATCAGGTAAAGCACTTTGGTACCCAGTTATTTATGGTGTTGAGTTTGAATTTAGCTTTTGGAATGTAATTTCCAACTGTGCATTGTAAAGACTGAAAAAACAGCCTCAGGTTAAAGCTTGACATGATTTGGTCTTTTACTTAAGAAGATGTTTGTCCTCCTGTGTTGTCTTATTTCCTTATCTTTCTTTCAGGTGTAACATCTACCAATGGTTGTACATGACAGAGACCTCCTCCGCCTCTTTGCTGTCTTACTAGTCAATCCTTCAGATCAGGTCCTTTCCTAAATAGTGGTAAGTTTTACAGTTCAGTGTACGTTAATTTAGTAACTTAATGCTTTACCGCTGTTGAATAAATCCTATATTGCTAGTCATTTTATTAAAACTACGATTTGTAAACTTTTTGATTCCAATTACAATAATCTTTTTGTTATAATTGTAAAACATTTCTTAACATCCATCAGCAATCAATACAACAAATCATCCAACACTAAATAGAAGAAATCTGGACCTATTTATTTTTATACAGCAGCATGTTTTGGGACTGCTCATTGATGTCATCAAGAGCCATTGAGTCTACCTTTTGTAGTTTATCATTTATTTGTATTTTAACATTCCTATAATAATTAGTTTTTTTATTGTTTTGTTCTTAATTTTTGTTGTGAGAATCACTTTGCAATTATTGTGTAAGTGCTATATAAATAGTTATACTAATATTATTGTTGTTACTATTATTAATAATGTCTTCTTTGTTTTCTTTATTCATCGCTGCAGAAAGGATCATGCCAGCCCACATCAAACACCTGATCAAGAGCTTGTGAACCTCACTGCTGCAGACACCTGTGTGATATTCCACTCTGACTGGGAACCCTCAATATGACCTGCAGGTACAATATATATATATATATATATATATATATATCTGCTCTGTCCGTCCTAAAGATAGTTCAATAGGGCTACAACAACAACAACAGTCTTTCCGTTTATTCCCTCGGTTCTTTAAGTGTATATTTTCCCATTTAATGCTTAAAAACGTTGAACAGCAGCTGCACATGATGCTCTTTTGACCCCTCTTTTAATTTTGTATTTCAGGCTCAAGCTCGGTGTCATCGTTTTGGCCAGTCTAAGGCGGTGGAGGTGTACCGTCTGATCACTAGAAACTATGAGAGGGAAATGCTGGATAAAGCTAGTCTGAAGCTCGGGCTGGACCGTCCCGTCCTGCAGAGCATGAGTGGCAACAACAACGGGGTGAGAAAAAGAAAATCTGTCATATTTCTAGATGCCAAGTCATTTTTGGGTCAGTCGCTGTTGCAGTACTCAGGGTTCGTACGGGTGCTTGAAATCCTTGAAAATGCTTGAAATTTGATGTGGTGTTTTCAAGGTTGGGAAAGTGCTTGAATTATGGGAATGGTGCTTGAAATTGAGAAAGTGCTTGAAAATGTAAATGCTTTACTTTTACAATAAATGTCTGTCTGACTGTATAGTTCGCTTTTTAGATTAAAAGAAAAATAATTGCTTCGCTTCTACATAAAACAGCTCCGCTGCACCTTCCCGCGCTATGCGCGCGACCTGCAAGTGTTTGTGTTATGTGTGACCTGGGCATTCTGATGAGTGATAGATGACTGTGTGCCAGGAGGTGCAGTTTCAACGAGCGTTGGCTAGCAGAAGACAAATACAAGCCATGGCTAAGACGAGGGTCAAGCCCACGAGTAGCCTCCTGCAAAGTTTGCAACAGCCCACGAGTAGCCTCCTGCAAAGTTTGCAACATAACGATGGGAGAGTCTGCGCTGACGAGCCATGAAAGGTACGCCGTAGTTGAGCATTTTAGATTAGGCGAACGTTGCATGTTACGTTTGTTTAAGCTAACGTTAGCAAGCTGAATAGCGAACTCGATTGAGGGATAATAATAATTGCATGGGACAATCATTTCAGAGGAGCGTACCTATGTTATGTGCGTTACAGTCGCCATCCTGTGGTGTTCAGAGGATGAAGCACTCACGGCATTTTGTGTTATAGTCACGAAATATAATCTATTGATTCGACACAGAGCGATTTTGAAAGCAATGTATTTCTACTGGTAGTATGTTTCGTGCCTAAACCAAATGTGACTTGCTCTATCGAAATCAGTCACATTGACCCGAAGACACATTTTCGTTTGTATTACTGGTCTGGGGGAAGCTCGCGAGTGTGTTTGTGTATTTTTGCGTTTGTGTACCGGGGAAACACTTACAAGAAACACCGGCTGTTGCTTGCTGTGACGTTACATTAGTCCGTTCTCTGCTTGTAATTATGCCGAAGCTTCAAAGTTGTATTTATCATCTACATTTGCCGAAACAAGTTTAATATTCTGAAAGCCAATACTTTGTTTATTTGAAAACATGAAAACAAACTGTCTTTTATATAAAATTGAAGTATTATACAAGTAAAACTACATTTTGTTTTAATCCCATGTAATTGTAGAATGAACACAGTCTTCCTTTGAAGATGTAGAAGTCAGGTGTCTTGAGTAGTCAAAATTACCTACAAATCATTGTACACATTTGTACATATTATTTTCCACTTGTTACCATTGTGAGTCTATTTTTATGCAGCTCTGCGTGATTTTGTGGCTACAATTCAGGCTAATACACTACTAGAGGTGGAATAAGTACTCCGATATTGTACTTGAGTAAAAGTAAAAGTACAAGTACTCAGATCTTGTAGTGAAATTATAAGTACTCAGATCTTGTGCTTGAGTAAAAGTTGAAGTACTCAGGTCTTGTACTTGAGTAAAAGTTGAAGTACTCAGATCTTGTACTTGAGTAAAAGTAGAAGTACTCAGATCTTGTACTTAGCAAAAGTAGAAGTACCAGAGTGTAGGAATACTCTGTTACAGTAAAAGTCCTGCATTCAAAATGTTCCTCAAGTGAAAGTAGAAAAGTATTCTCATCAAAATATAGTGAAAGTAGCGACAGTTAAAGTAGTCATTGTGCAGATTGGTCCATTTCAGAATAATATATATGATATGTTTTTATAATGATTGATCATGAAAGTGTTCTCAAAGCTGGTAAAGGTGCAGCTAGTTTGAATGACTTTGTATACTGCAGGGTAGCTGGTGGATTTACTCCAGGTGGAACTAAAGTCTGATTTAACACTTGATTAGATTTCACATAATTCCTCCACATCTGTGAAGTAACTAAAGGGATTAAATACATATAGTGGAGGAAAAGTACACCATGTACCTCTGACTTATGTTCACTTCCAACCTAAAAGTACCTCAAAAATAGTAATCAATAATGTATTGAAAAGTTATTTGGCTGATTGTTTTATATTGGCTCAGACAGGTTATATGGGACATACAGATGGGTCACTCATTTTGAAATATTAAACTTAGTTTTGTTTTCTTTAATTTTTCATCCTCGTGTAGAATGCTATCACGAAACACACATTTGGTTGTTTATCGCATAAAGAACGTCTGATTTAATGTGAGGTAGGGAAATAATCATTTGTGTATGTGTATATAAATATGTAATTTACAACAGCTGTAAGATGCTTGAAAAGCTGGAAAATGCACCTTGAAAATGCTTGAAAAGTTCTTGAATTTGACTTTGGAAAAGGTGTAAGAACCCTGTATATTTATTTAGATGTAGGTTTTTTTTGTAATATTGTATTAAGTGTAATTTATTAAATAAAAATACTGTTATGAACACTATACAATGTCTTTATTTTGATAGTTACCAGAATACATTGAATATTTAATACTAACATAAGCTGGTGATAGATAAATGCTGGTCTGCTGGTATGCCAGCACACAAATATTTATAAAGACAGGGTATGGCTGGGGTAGGCTACACCCATACCAAGAAATGGCTTAGCCCCACCATGAAAAATGATGTTAAAGTAAGCAAAATAAAGTCCGCCAACTCGCGCGGAGTAAATTGCACAGACAGCAGTTAGTAAGACTGATTTCAGCAGCCACTTGTCTGGAAATACGGAAGACCAGAAACGGTTTTGAAAACTTTTGTCACGTAGTGATCGTCTTCCCAATAGAACATCTTTGATAATGTCTTCTGGCCAATCAGAATCAAGATAACGGCGTGGTGTTGTTGCAGGAAGTCCCGACGGAGAATACTTTAGCTGTAGTACAGGTAACACATAACTGGTACGCAGGTTATGTGCGTAATCTGAAATGCGTACCGTCACTTGTGTCACAAAGCACATTTGCGTACCGACGTACTTGTGAAGCTTTTCCAGAAGGCGGTTAGATCACCGGACGACAGAGTCGGTCTCCGTGTGCACAGACAGAGCTGCTGTTAACGTCGGTCTGTACAACGGAATTGTGCCAAAATTACGCCAACCGGCTGCAGAGGGAGACTCCTCCCTTCACTGGAGAACTGCGCTAAAACAGCTGATCACAACGTTCACACTCTTAGGCCGCAAGGTGAACCTCGAAAAGTCCTTTAGAAAAGAAATCCCGCTCCACAGAAGTGGAACTACATAATCTTTAGTTCATAAAAAAGAACGAGTCATGCTTATCCACCAAAGAAAAGTTTGTCGCTAAAATTCCTGTCAATTCTTCTAGGCACGTAATTATTGGCTGAACTAGTCCCTTCAAAGCGTAATAATATCTTGGTCAAAAGTAGTGCCACGGTTCGTCACGTGATCGTGCTACACCAATTGGGTAGCTGCATATTGTCAACAGAAGTGAAAGATGGCCGCCTACATGGTTACGCTAAACCAGACCAAATGGATTCTAAACAGTGCTGTATGCCTGTTTTATGTCATGTTTTGTCATATGTCTTAATACATCACTAAGTCCGAGGTATTTGCGTTATATACGCGGTATTTGTGAGAGGTTTTACTATCTGGGAACAGAGTTGACCATCGAATCAACATTGGCTAGCAGCGTTTATCAGCCAACTCCAGCTACAACAACATTCCTGGACTACCATGTTCGCATCGCTAGGTTCATTGGCTGAGCTCGTGGATTATTCCATTAGACTGAGGACTTTTTGTCTGTCTGTCTGTTGTTATTGTTACCCTGTACACGTTAAATGCACTCTTACAATAAACATGACTTGATTTCATACATAGCTGCGTCCAAGAAGGTTAACTTGTTACGTTAAGTAATTTAGATCAATAAAATGCAGTACTTACACCAATGACCATTGATTCATTTATTTACTCATTCATCATATAATAATTTGATGAATTGCATTATTATTATTATTATTATTATTATTATTATAGATTATTATTATAGATATATATAGATTATTATTATATATATATATAGATTATTATTATAGATATATATAGATTATTATTATAGATATATATAGATTATTATTATATATATATATATATATATATTATTATTATAGATATATAATATATATATATATATATATATATTATATTATTATTATTGTAATATGATAATATTGTATTTGTAACTTCAAAATCAATGCCACCGTTGTAAGCTTGTCCTGTACGTATTCCATCTTGTATTGGTAAAATAATCAACCTTTTCGTGCTTCACAGACGTAATATGCATGTAACAATGTTTGTGTGTTGATAATTTTGACTTTTTGAGACTTTCTGGTGCGCTACTCGATGAAACCATGGCGGTCGCCATTTTTTCCAAATCTGTTTGTTGATACCGGTATATGCAGCTACCCAATTGGTGTAGCACGATCACGTGACGGACCGTGGCACTACTTTTGACCAAGATATTATTACGCTTTGAAGGGACTAGTTCAGCCAATAATTACGTGCCTCGAAGAATTGACAGGAATTTTAGCGACAAACTTTTTTTTGGTGGATAAGCATGACTCGTTCTTTTTTATGAACTAAAGATTGTGTAGTTCCACTTCTGTGGAGCGGGATGAAACGATAACAGGGTTCACCTTATGGCCTATTTGTGGTCACGAAGTACTCCACTCCACTAGCGCCCCCCCCCCCCGTCGACTTTCCTGAAGTTTCTAAGTAAGATAGAAATCAATACGTAATGAATTAAGACCCCACGGTTTGATGATTGATAGGTGCTCTCTTTCATTTTGACACACATAAATTGTTTACAATAAACATGTTAAATGGATATATCCGCCTTCTTTCATTTATCTTTCCATTCCCACAACAATATACATAAAGAAATGACATATTTTGGACATGGTTCGAATGGTGATTAATCATGATTAATTAATTTTTAAGCTGTGATTAATCTGATTTAAAAATGTTAATCGTTTGACAGCCCTAATTTATTTATTTTTGGATTAGATCATAGATACGTCCATGAGTTAAGAGATGGAATTATATGATGATTCACACTCATGTACAGTAGGTGGCGGTATGCACCTTAAAGTTGTTTGCAATCCGCCAAAAAACCGAGAGAAGAAGAAGTCAACTGGTTTGCCAACGGACAATTTACACCGAAGAAGAAGAAGCGAACATTTCTGGCGGGTGAAATTTAGAGTATCAGATTACATGCGATGTCTGACTCTGAGAATTTAGTAGTTTGCCTTATAGTCCTTCTCCTCCATTTTCTTCCTCTTCTCGAGTAGTCAGTGTGGTGCTGTTGCTTTGGTCTGGGTCTCTGGACCTGTGAGCTAACCACGCCCCGTTCATTTCCATATAAGGAATGGAAATGTCTCATCATGAAATACAAGTCACATGAAATAAGCCATTATGAAATACGAGTCTCTTGAAATAAAGAAACGCGTCATTATGAAATACAAGTCATCTGAAATAAATAAATATGTCATTATGAAATACGAGTCTCTTTAAATAAATAAATGTGTCATTATGAAATACAAGTCTCTTGAAATAAATAAATGTGTCATTATGAAATAAAAGTCCCATGAAATAAATAAATGTGTATTTAAATGTACATGTATACATATTTATTGCTTAATTTATTTATTTTATAATTTATTTCATAGGCATATTTATATATATATGTATTTATTTAATTATTTATGTATATATTTATTTATTTAATATTGGCTTAAATGGCATTCCATAAGAAGCAGGGTTGGGTTGTAACGGAATACATGTAACGGCGTTACGTAATCAGAATACAAAAATCAAGTAGGCTAACTGTATTCAGCTGGCGTTACATTTGAAAAACGAGTAATCTGATTACAGTTACTTTCGTAAACCTGAAGTGAATACATTTTGGAATACTTATTGGAATTATTGGAGGAAACGTTTCCTCACAAAATGTAATATTCATTACCGGCAGAACTGTGTGCACACTGCACAGCGCTGCAGCATGTCTGTGAGAGAGAGAGAGATGCAGCGTGTCTGTGAGGCCCCGCCCCCGCACGCAGATGAGAGAAAGATCTCTTTTAAACTATATTGAAAGTTAGAAACTGAGATGGTTCGATAAAATGTGCAAGATAACGTTTATGTAGCATTTCTTTATTGTCGAGATGATGACATTTATAACTGGATCAAATCTAAGTGAATGGCCTGCTGCTGCTGAATGCATGGGGCAAGTGACTGGAAAAAGTTTTTAAAGTTATTACATCGTTTCAGATAATACATAATAATGATAATTCATTCTATTTAGGGGCGCCTTTCAAAGCACCTAAGGACACCTAACATATTCCAAGGAAAGGTTTTAAGACTAGAAAGAATGCAGTCTGGGTGATGTTTTTTATGTGGGGTGCAGATGAGAGGGAGCTGTCCAGAATGACACCAAGATGTTGTGTTTGAGTTCTTGATAAGCCATTAAAATATGGAGCTATTTCAGGGTCATAAGTTTTGATCATTCAAAAAAATACAATTTATTTGAAAGTCCAAGTTTTCATCCTGAACTTTGAAAAATACAATGTTGTATTCAAAACAAAAAAAAGTATTTTAAATCATTTTTCAGGTTGAATATTATTTTGATTCAGTTCAGCAATTTTTTGGAATAAAATATTCATATTTCACTTTTATACATATTTTGATATTTGAATATTTGTTTTTTTCAGTTTCACATTTTTTTTTTTCGCTTTCAGATTTTTTTTGTTCGCTTTCAGACTTTTGACCCTGATATTGCTTCGGGGGGCGGGGCTTACCAAAGAGTAGTTTGGTACCTCTGTCATGATGCCTTCATGGATGTTAGGTAGCGCAAGAAATACAACTACACACTTTCTATACACGATACTCCCATGATTGGTGGTAAACAAAACTGATACCAGCCTCAAAGTTCCGTTAAGCGAGCTGTTGAGCATCGTAGTTGGCAAAAATTGCGGTATAAGAGCAATAAACTGTGCTAGAATGTGAAATTACGTATCCGCAATGAAGCGTTGTCCTTCCCCACTTCCACGTAGCTCCTTGAACGCAGCATAGTATTGGCTTGGCTTTTGTGATGGCGTCAGGTCCACCTGCTGGCTCCATGGCTGGCACCAGCGCACAGGTAAGAAATATTAACTTTTTTCCATTCATGGTCTTAGATGTTATCCAAGAGCATGATTATAATATTATAGCGACATACATAAAAGGAAGGCAGGCCTTTTCAGGTGGGGAATGAATGTGGCAACGCGGGAAACTAACCATGGCATTGAGGCTACTCGTGCTATTAGCTATAGTAAGTGCAAGAGAATTTCTCTTATGTTGATAGAGTCCAGCTCACGTGTTTCTCAATCTGTCTTTGCCAGAGTGGCGACCGTAATTCATCTGTGGCTGCAGCAGCACACACTTTAATAACCGTGCTCACACAGCACCTCTCTTTAAATGATTGGTAATAACTTACATTATGTTTTGATTTGATCACCTATTTATAGAGTTTGTTTACAAAGCATAATTGTTGCAGTCATTTTCTTTGCACATGTCCTTAACGATAGTTTTCATGCTGTTTATTATTTGAACATGAACTAATCCAGTGCAATATGGTAAATTGATGTTTGTCAATTCTAGGAGCAACTGAAAAGGGACTTTCTTCAGAGACTACTGACTAGAATTTCCCAGATCACGCAAAGACTGCCCTTAGATGTTGACTATTTGCAGTTTGTAGTGGACCAGGAGATGGCTCTTTTTAGGTCGCTATCAGGCCAGGTTGATATGCCACAGGATGTTATCAATGCTTTGACTGAGCTGTCAAGGCTTGTCAATATTGAAGACATCTCTAATCAGACCCCTCATCAAGTGCCAGTAATGCAAGGAGAAATGGGACGACCAAAATATGTTGTCTGTCCTCAGCAACTACAAGGCTTAATAGAAGACTTGTCCCTACCAGTGTCGGCCATAGCAAAACTTCTGGGTGTATCTGAGAAGACAGTCAAAAGGCGCATGCATGAAAATGGCCTCTCCATAAAACAGTCCTACAGTACCCTAACTGATGATGAACTAGACAATTTGGTTCGGTCAGTTAAGGCCAGGACACCACATGTAGGATATCGAATGATGAAAGGAATCCTGAAGGCCATGGGTCACCGTGTGCAATGGAAGAGAGTGTCTTCATCAATGCATCGTGTTGATTCTGTGGGTGTACTCACAAGAATGGCAAGGATGGGGTGTGTTGCAAGAAGGACATATTCTGTTCAGGGTCCTCTGCACTTGGTACACATCGACACAAATCATAAACTCATCAGGTACGCCACACATTTGATGTTTACATGCTATTTACAATAAAGGATAATAGAGTACAAATTAAAAAAGTTATGTTTTAAAATGCCCCGTCACAGTTGTTTGCATAATAGATAACAGACACTAAAAGTGATTTTGTGTTGTTTTTCAAAGATATGGTCTTGTTATTTTTGGAGGGATTGATGGCTTCTCACGGAAGGTAATTTTGTTTTCACAAATAACGATTATTTATAAGTCAGATAATGACAGTTATTGGTTAATAACTAAACCTGATGCATGATTTACAGTTCCTTTCAAAATATCTATATTTTAAGTTTGTATCCATCTTAAACCTTGTAGCAAGAATGTCTGGTTTTGGTTTTTAAACACATTTAGAGATCTGCTTTTATTTATTCTGCTTAATAATTTTCTCTGCTGCAGATCATGTACCTGGGTGCTGCCACTAATAATAAAGCATCGACTTCACTTGACTTCTTCTTGGAGGGTGTGCAAAAGTATGGCTTTCCATTAAGGTAAGGCCAACATTAGGTGTGGCTCCCTGTTGTACTCTTTAGTAATTTGGGCCTTATCTGTCATTAAAAGATGCATAATGGTTTGTATAACACTTACAGTGATCAATGTTTTGATCACTGAAATGACCCGAGAATTATTCACGACCGAGTCAGGAAGTAACTACGACTCTCGAAATAAATCTGACTGAAACCAACCTCAATCTGTCCAAAGCCCTATTGATGATAAAATATATCGTATAGAATACTTGATGACTAAGTCACCTTCTGTCTCTCCAAACAAACCATGTTTAGGATTATTTCCATTATACCATTACATATTCATTTTTGACCTGTCTTTAAAAAACGATAATAAAAATAACTTGCCTATTTTCTTCTACATTAAGAAATCTTAAAAATGCCATGTCATAACTTTTTGTAATGTTTTATTTCATGTGTGTGATTAATCTTTTTAAGAGTAAGAGCCGACCAAGGAGTGGAAAATGTTGGCATAGCGCGATGCATGTTCACTATAAGGGGCTGTGGAAGGGGAAGCTTCATGTCAGGGAAAAGTGTGCACAATCAAAGGTACATTCTTTGAAGTAATGTCAAACAATGACAAACACAAAGCCATAATTTGTGAATATACTGTGCTTTGTCCAATTTGATGATTTTTATTTTAACAGAATCGAACGTTTGTGGCGAGATGTTTGGATGGCTGTTTCAAACGTGCACTACGAGGTTCTTCACAGCCTCGAGGATGAGGGTGTTCTAGATCCGTCTGATAGCATCCACATGTTCTGTGACCAGCATGTATTTGTTCCGCGTCTTCAGAGGGATCTCAATGTCTTCAGGATGGGTTGGGATAATCACCCTCTAAGGACAGAGCGAAATTTGTCCCCACACCAACTGTGGACAATGGGACTCCTCCATAATCCTATTGATGTTCCAGACCTTGCAGAGGTACTCATTACTCATAATTTTGGCCAGTGTTCTCAAACTATTTCAACTAAAATATATTAGACCAAAGTATTATGCTTAAAACAGCTTAACAAAATTAAAGGAACTCCATTAAACTTATATTATGAAAGAAATTGGCATTGCCACTGTATGTTCGCTGTTCATTACATTAGTATTGAACCTTTGGGCTAGGAAAAAATTATATTTGTCATGTTTCAATGGAATTTACAATCACTAGCATCAAATAAATGAAAGATAGATATTTTTCTATAAAATTGCATAAAACTTGCTTACTAATGTAAAATGCAAAGCATGGGACTGCACTTGAAATGCATTTTGTAAGACCTCAAAATCACCTCTTTTGATAGGTGTACAGTTGAAAAGGCAAAAAAGTGTTTTGTTTTTATTCTTTACATTCTCTAGTGTTTAAAGTTATTCTTGGTCCCATAAAATCCATGACTGATATTTAATTTTTATCAAGGAAATGGAGGATGCAGATCTTGATTTCAACACTGCCAGTGAGCCAGATGAGACCAGTCCTGGAGTGATTCTCCCACCTGTTGAAAGTCCCCTCAGTGAGCAGGATATGGCAGGACTTTTGGCCAATATTGATGTTACAAGACCATCTAGGTCCTACGGCCGAGACATTTATTTAGCTGTATTGAACCATGTATTAAATCATGCATCCTAAATGCAAACATGTTTCAAGGGTTTAACCATTTAGACATTGTAACGGCCCCAGAGCCTGTGTGCAGGTGTGTTACAGGTCTTACGGTGGGGTGGAGCTGAAGAGGCCAATCAGCGCGATCGCGAACACCTGGCCGGAGCCGAGGTGCTATTAAGCCCAGCTGCCCGGAGTCACATGGCGGCCCTGACTCTCTCCAAGCCGGCCGCAGGAGGAGTAATACGGCGATCCTCTCCCCTCGTCCATCCACCTTGTACTTTATACTGAACAACCGCAATAAATGTGCCGTGGTTTATGGAAACTCGTGTACGTCTTGTCATCTTTCCGTTGTGGCCTACGAGCCGGTCATAACAACATCAACACCTTTAAACCCTTAACATTTTATTATATTCCATATCACAGTTCTGGGTAGCAACATGTTACAACATTATATCAATTTCTTTGTTTTTCTTTAAGAAATGTTTAACCGAGTGGTGCAGTGATGACGTATTTGTGTAGTTCGACCCGGAAGTAAGCTGCAAGGGTTCCCTCGACAAAAAGCAATGGGATATCCTACAGTATGGAGAAATCCCACTGCTTTTTTGTTGAAGGAACCCTTGCAGCTTACTTCCGGGTCAGCCTACAAAAACACGTCATCACTGCACCACTCTATTGCTGCCATTACATTTTTTTTTAAGATTACTTGACTGGAAGTAGTCAATGCTAAACCTTTAACACTTAAACAGTAAGGTTAACTTGGAACAGAGGTCATTAATGGTTACCTTATTACACATTGCTAAATTCTTGGCCTAATTGAAACGCTTCAGTCAGGATGTTTTTGAATTTGTCATAGGGCCTCATATGTCTCACAGGTAAGGTGATTGTCTTGGCACATGCTGTCACAACAGGGTAACAGACACTGTGATGCCCAAAGTCTGCACTGCAGTCATGATTGAATTGGATCACAACTGCAAAGTCCTTCTTCTCTGAGGGAAGAAGTGGGACGTGACCCTGGCCTGTGATCCACTGCAGAAACCTTGCAGGTGTGATGGGATGTAGGCCATCTGTATCTACATGCCCATGATCTTCAGCTATGAGGAAAATAAACAAAAACCGTTATGACAGTTTAAAGTGTAGTTTTCCTTTAGTGCAAGTGAATTGTACTGAGGTATTTTAACCACAGAACGTCTGATCCAAAAAAGGTAATCAAGTTTTTGTAATTCAGGATTCCTACAACATCTTAAACATTAAATTCAAGGACATTTTAATGGTTTTCCAAGCCCAATGCCTTCAAATTTAAAAACCCAACTTACACTTAAATCTTCATTAGAAGTACATTGAAAACTTTATACCTTCATATCAGCTCAACCTGATGCCTGGTAGTCCCTTTGTCACTCAGTTGAGGAAGAATGGATGTCATGACAAACTCTGCATTGACCTATGATGAGAACAAATCCAGATGTAAATTATGTACTCTTTACTCCTTAACTTTAAATATCAAATTGTAAAGAATGGTCTCTTTTGTTCTGCTCACTTTGACATCTTCCCCAGAAACAAACAAGGGCTGGCAGATATCTGGGTACTGACTCATCAGTGAAAGGAGCCCATACAGCTGCAAGCCTTCCCTTAGTTGTTCCAACATAGTCTGCAGCCGCAGCACTGCGTGGAGTATGATGGCACTACAAAATTACAAAGTAAATGCAATCCTAAATAAAAGGTACTCATGTAACATCTTTTAATATACAAAAATAAACAAGTGTCAAGCATACCGAACAATGGTGTCCTTGTTTGGAATGGAGACATTTCCAGTGTATCCACAATTCAATATTTCATCAGATAGGCCTATCATCATTGAATGCTCAGTCGCCGACTCAACCTAAAAACAGAGAAGTACATCTCTTTACCATATTCAATATAAACCTATGACTATAATTGGAAAATAAATGCTTATTTCTTATTAACCCAGCATTTACATAATATAGAACTCATACCTGGTCAATTAACTCTCTCAGCTGGACATCTGCCACTGAATCACTGTTGAGAACCTTCTGGTTTATACGTCCACTGCAGAGGTAACTGTAAGTCCATGGGCTGAAGAAGGCAGGGGCGGGGCCACCTTGTGCCAAACTAACAGCCAAAATCTCTCCCACTGTCCTATTAACACAGATTGAGCATGAATGCATTTTTTACGTTATATAACATTTATCAAAAATGAACAGTTGGTCCTTACTGGTCATGCTTAAAAGTAAACAAACCTGTAGAGGTCACTGTCCAAGTCATTCAGAGAGTAACGTGGGATCCGCTGCTGTTGAGGTCCTTCAAAGAAACGACCCTCAATTCCTGCCACCACTTCTACACACAAGTACAAAGACCATTTACTTTAATAATCAGGATACTATTTTACAAGTATTTTATTAATGTCTAACCCCGTTTAAATACAAAAAAGGTTAAGTAGTATGTAACAAAGACTAAAAGAAAAAAAATGTCATGAGTCTTTGTTAATCAGCCCTTCAACCAAAGTTTCACAGACATTATCCATAAATCTAGACTATTTTAATTAAGAGTCAAATGTAAGAATGCAAAAATTGTTGTTTTTGTTTATCTGTGAGAAATTCTTTTCGGAGGGCTCCTGTGTCGACTCCTGCCTCCCCAAAGAAGGTCACGTTCAGGGTAGCTATGGGTGAACTCCCTTTTTGACGCTGCCACTGTAGAAGGCCTCTTTCGAGAATGTTTGTTCGTGAGATTTGTATATTGAAACGTTTCTCTTCGTCTACTCTTCCAGAGATTGTGTCCAATACGTCATCAACACTGCCAAACAAAACTCATAATTAACAGGCGTAAACTACTGATATTGAATAAAGAGCTTTTTTAGAATGAAGATCCAAGCAGAATGAAGAACCCAGTATTTACCTTTCGAATTGCCTCTCCATTGCCTTTCCATTGTTGTGGCCCATGTCAGTTTTCTCATCCAGACGGACATGTTGATCTCTAAAAAAGTACAAAGGAGATGTATATCGTTAATATAAAACATGTAAAATGAACCTTAATGTACTCGCTCTAAAATACCTTTCTCCACACATGCTTGCATGTATTTCTAAAAACTGTGGTGTGAAGCTCTCGAAGCAGATGGGACATGGCACCTTCTGATGGAGGTAAAAGTTTAAATATTAGCAGCTGTATCAAGTTTATATAGGCAATTTTACAGTGCAATGCAATACAATTAAGTCCTTTACCTCTTCAAGAGATTTCTCTGTATGGTTTTGCACAGGGTGCACGACCGAAACAATTTCCACCTCACTTGTTGTCTAACAAACAAAAAATATTACCAACACATATGTTATAACTCACTGAATACAAAAATATTTAAAGCAAGTTGTACTATTAAAAATGCAACATTACATATATTTCATGCCCACATTTACCTCAATGTCTTCTTCCGATGATAGACACTCCTCCATACACTCCCGGACATGCAGAGCCAAAATTTGCAGAGGAAAATGTAACTTGCATGTTTGGCATTGGGCTTTTGGCATATTCTGGAACTCTACAGCATCCGCGGGCAAAGGTGTTAAGTCGAATTCATGCTGCAGAGGGACAATATACAGGGTGTTCTTCCCTGCCCCTGTGACACTGCGGAGGAGTGTGCCGGTGTATCCGTCCGAGTCAGGCGGAATCATTATAAGTTTTCGTTTACCCTGACCTCCTGTAATTTACATTGTTTGAATCATTTCAGTTGCTTTAAGCTCAATATTTAAATGAAAATGTATTACAATGAATGTTATTTGACACATTTTTCGCACCTGTTGATTTGTAGAGGAGCCATCCTCCATCCAGCGCCTGCAACTTTGAATATTACTTTTTCAGGAGACTGAAGAACTAAGGAAACAATAAAGTAGGGTGTTCTTGAAATCAAACCAACTCTACAAATAAGTTTGAAGTTTCAAATATGAACACAGGTTATATAAATATGGTTTTCTTTATACAATACCTCTTCATGGCTCACGTCCAGGGGCATCGATATATGTATTTTGCCCAGTCCCGCCTGGGCAAGCGCAAATTCTTCCGATGCTGTTGGGGTACTGTCTGCATTGAAGTTTAACAGGTAAACATAAAATGTAAAGGGTCTCCAGTTTTTCTTCGCTTGAGTTGCAAAGGTCTTGAGAGCTGGAAGCTTTCTCTTCCCAAGGCAATCTTTTTTTTTCACAAAGAATCCAGGGAAAGATCTGCATTATTTAAACAAAAAAGTAATGTTGTTTAGCACATAATCATAAATGGACATATCAACTTGCAGTTTACCTGTAGATAAACACAAATATATATGTATTATAATCTAAAACCTGGCCATCTCCTGCTCTACAGAAGGACCAGGCAGTGTCTGGTCCTCCTTCCTTCCTTCCGGCTGTCCCTGGCTTAGATGCTGTGTGAGCATGGTTATTAAAGTGTGTGCTGCTGCAGCCACAGATGAATTACGGTCGCCACTCTGGCAAAGACAGATTGAGAAACACGTGAGCTGGACTCTATCAACATAAGAGAAATTCACTTGCACTGACCATTAGGGCTGGGCGATTATGGCAAAAATCATTATCACGATTATTTTGGTCAATAATTGATATCACGATTATTAAAAACGATTATCCATTTCCGTTCAAAAAGTGAACCGTATGTTTTTAAGAGTTGATTAACCTGAACTGTAAGTATAATTCAACTGAAAAAACAATAAAAAAATAATTACATTTTTTTTTTTTTTAAATAAAAATAATAATCGTTTTATTTCGATTACGTTGTTTTGATTGATTGATTGATTGAAAAGTTTATTAACAGCTTGTATATTGGGTACAGTACAGTACAGCTCAAAACATACAATTGTTAAGGGGATGCAGACCAGAGAAAGACTTTCGTCTTGTTTACATCAGGGTCCCCCATTTCCAATTCATCATATCATTTAAGACATATAAGACATATTTGACATACAGATGGCTTATTTACAATTTACATACAGGTGGTTTTTTACATACAGATTGCTTGTTTACAATTTTCATTTTAGATTTCATTCTAATACATCCTAACCGGACATTTAAGACATACCAAGTCTACAGATATACAGTTAGTAACAGAGTCTAAAATGCGAGTATATACATAGATGGGGGGGGGGGGGGGGGGGAAAGCTGTCCATTGAACGACAGGTTGAGATTTGTACCATTACCGGGGCCAGTTTGCAATGCTCTCCCCTGAAGGTGCTCTTTAAGAGAGGTTTTGAAGGTAAGTATAGTTTTACTTTCCTTTACAGTTGTGGGAAGAGCGTTCCACCTTGATGTGGCATAATTGCGAAACGTGTATTCCCCCTTTTTTGTGCCAAATCTGGGTTTCACATGATTTGTGGAGCTCCCTCTGGTGTTATGATCATGGTATTCCTTGACCTTTGGGAAGAATTTTGACATGTACATGGGTACCATAGAGGTGTAGTGGATCTTGTAGACCAGGCCCATTGCAAGTAGCTGTACTCTGTCGTCTACTCTAAGCCATCCTAGG